TAGTATGCACAGTGATTGAAATTAAAAGATAAAATTAATGAGTAATATATAATATTAAACAATGCATAGAGACTAATAGTTAAGGAACATGCAAATCCTAAAGTAGTTTCATCATCTTCTATCTTCAAATGTAGCTTTTCTCCCAATCTGGAAGAAACAAAATTAAAAGCCTTAGCAGGATACCATGATAAAAAAGGGACTCATAGGCGCATAACCAAATTCAATTTGTTTTATGCTGATGAAATCATGGTTAATACATCAATCACTATTAATCACAATGGTTGATTATCATATCTCAAACAGAAAAGATTTTCTAATGTCAGCATGAGATTTTGATTTGAGAACCATGTATGGTACTAAATTCTTGATGGAAATGAATCGTAACTTCTGCAAATTAAAGTTTATTGTTGTCATAGAACAATGATCTAAAACATGATACTTTGAGTTGGTAAAGAGACCATAAGAAATTGACAGAAATATATGATATCAATAACATTGGAGGAAAAAACCAAATTTTCATATCAAGCTATTGATGTCTAATTTGTATAACTTGTAAACTCTCCTTAATGCCTAAAAAGGTTTACTGGGTTGAGATATCCTTTTCAAGAAACATACCTACAGATAAATGAATCGAATACATGTTTTGCTATATTTCAATCTTCTAATGTGCATGTGTGCTTATAGTACGCCCTAAGCTTACAAAAAAATGAAAAGAAATAGTAATAAAATGGTTGAATTTAGTTGAGCTCTATCTAAACATATGCACATATCAAAATTTCTTGGCAATCCTGAAGTTTCAGTACCTTATCTTCATGTTTAGTTAACACAGTTATGTCATCTAAAAGGTCTCAAACCTTGAATAGAGATGAACGAAAAGCAAAATTTGACAAGGATGACAAAATGATTCTCAAACAAGAAGAAATTAAGAGGCAATGTAGGAAACTAGAAATTTCAAATATGCAAACATATAACTGCACAATAATCAAAACAGAAAATGGTTAAATTACTATAGGGAAAAAGAGGAGGAATTGACTAATTTTGTATAAAATGAAAAATCTCCACCAGGAAAGGGTAAAGTCATTAATGGCAGGATGTAATAGAAAATTAGTTGCTGGCCATGAAAAATGCGTTGCCTGAATCCGTCATGCAAGTTAGTAACAAAGGCACTCAAATTCGATATTCAAATTCGATATTTTTGGGTAGTCTATTCTGTCACTCTTTAATTAAAAGGTAACCTCCTGTACAGATAGTATTAGAGTGCTCAACTATTTGTAATCTATTAAACCTCACAAAAAAAATTACTTAATCAATCAACATCAAAGAAATTATTGCTATAAACAAAATAAAACAAATTATGTGTGCAAATTAAAATAAATATTCTATTAAAGTTCATATCTTTGAACAAATTTAAGAAGCACAAATCAACTCATGTCAATTTGAAACACCATGGTACATCATATGACCAGACTTTTAGAAGAAATTTTGGAAATCTAGATTTTAGCTAGACTTCATCCACAAAAAAAAAGTAACTGACTAAATAGAGTTTTAAACACCCTTGGGTAAAAGCCCATCTTGACTAATCATAGTCAAAGAAGAATGAAACATGAGATATTATTTTACTTCCAGTTAAAATCTGCATATTAAATATGGAAAAACCACCCAAAAAAGTACAAAAATTTAAGGTAAAAGGGAGGAAGAGGTATCACTTGTTAAGAACACCAAATGTATGAAATTTCTCATATCTACACAAAATTTTAAAACATGAGAAAGTTGTATCAACTTCAAAAGAAGGGTGTAGAAATATTAATCCAAACATCAATAATTAATGGCCATGTGTCTTTGTTTTATTGGTTAACTAGATAGTTGCATTGTGAGTTGGTAAAGTTGGTCACATTAGATTAGGCCCATAGTACTAGTATTAGAAGTCAACCAAAAGAGACCTAGTACTATATAGCCTCTCATCCGTCCTCTTTAAGGAGAGGCTTTGTTGTTTTGTATTCTTGCTTGAGTTTCATTTGATTAATAGAAAACTTCCTTTGCCTCAATATTGTTCTTTATTTGATCGTTCCTGTGGGTTGATGATTTATTATTTGTTTGGGTCCTACAAAGTGGTATCAGAGCTACGGTAGATTGAAATATGGTAAACCCTAACCCCCAATATTTTTTGTTCAGTCCAAAAACTCAAAACAAAAGTGGAGTTTAATTTTTGGCAGAAACAAACAGTAACACATCTCAAGGCATGTAAATTACATCGATATATTGAATTTGCACTTGCTGAGGATGCTAGTGAGGATGATAAGGCAAAAGACAGCTTAGCTTTATCACAAATTCATTAGGTAATTGATATGTTAGTTTTTGAAAAAATTGCTACGGCTGATATGACAAAGGAGGCTTGGGATATATTGGAGAAAACATACAAAGGGATTGACTGGGTCCAACAAAATAATTTGATAATGTTGAAGAAGAAATTTGAACTTGTGACGATGGAGAAATCAGAATCTATTGAGTCATATTTTACTCGTTTGTCAAATATTAAAACGAGATGAAACTCAATTAGTATAATCTTCCTGACAAAACATTTGTTGAGAAAGTTCTCAATGCTCTACCCATGAAATTTGATCATGTGGTAGCTGTAATTCAGGGAACGAAAGATTTGGAAGATTTGAGTATTGAAGATTTGCATGGGTCATTAATTCTGCATGAACAAAGAATTAATGAAATTAGAAAATTGGATAACCCAGAGAAGGATAAGGATATAGAGAAGGCGTTGCAGGTACAGTTGAAAGAGCAATAATGATGTGAGGCAGCAAGGCAAATCCTGTCAGAGGAGCAGAGGTGGTTGCAATAACAGAAGTGGTCGTGACAACAATAACAGAGTCCGAGGAGGTACATCAAATCCTGGACGCACTAGAGGTAATAATTTCAATTTTAGAGGTGGTCTTGGGTAGATGCAAAAGTGGTAATTTGGCAGAGGAAATAATTTTAATTAGAATAATTTTCAGAATAATTTTGGACAGAGAGTTCAATGTTATAATTGTGAAAAATTGGGCCATAGACAATTTGAATGTAGATTTAGAGAAAATGTAGACAGAAATTTTCAGGCTAATGTTGTTGATAATCAGGTACAGGATAAAAATAAAAATTATAACTTTATTATTAACCTGTAATGCAGTTGATGTGGTCGAAACAATAAATCGTACTTTGATACGGGTTGTAGCAACCATATGTCTGGTAAGAAAGAATTATTTGTTGAGCTTGATGAATCTGTCCATGGTGAAATTAAATTTGGAAATAACACTATTTTACTACTGATTGGTAAGGAAAAAATTCTTATTAGTCTGAAAAATGGGTCTACTGATTTTATTTATGATGTTTTCTATGTTCTTGGGTTGCATCAAAATTTGTTGAGTATGGACCAATTGACTGAAAAAAATATGATATTCGTATCAGGAATGGTATTTGTACTTTTTTTTGATAAAAATATTGGAATGATTGTTAGTGTACCAATGACTTCAAATCGCTTATTTTCACAGAATTTGAGTAGTGCCAATTTTTCCTATTTGAGTATAGTAATAGATGACAATAATTGGTTATGGTATATGTGATTTGGTCATTTAAATTTTGACAGTTTGAAATTTTTGGCAAATAAAAGAATGGTTGATGGATTGCCTAAGAAATCCTGAGAGAGTCTGTGATATGTGCGTTTTAGAAAAATAACATAACATAGGGATACTTTTCAAACTGGCCAATCATGGAGGACCAAAAGACCAATAGAAATTATTCATTCAGATTTATGCACTGTGGAGTTTCCTTCTAATGTTGGTTGTAGGTATTTTATTACCTTTATTGATGATTTTAGTAGAAAAGTCTGGGTGTATTTTTTGAAACAAAAATCTGATGTCTGTGACACTTTTAAAATTTTTAAAACTTTTGTTGAGAGACAACGTGAGTGTTAGATTAAAATTTTGAGAGACAAATAGGGGTCAGAAATATTTGATATGTGATGATTTTCTTGAGAAAAAAGGGATACGACATTAGTTAATTACCAGGTACACTCCCCAACACAATGGAGTGGCAAAGAGGAAGAATATGATAGTTATAGATATGGTGAGGTGTATATTGAAGGTGAAAAATATGTCAAAATCTTTTTGGGCAGATTCAGTTTTTTGTGCAATTTATTTGTTGAACAGGTGTCCTACCAGAAGTATTTCCGAAAAAAACTCCTGAAGAAATTTGAAGTGGTAGAAGACCATTTGTTGGTCATCTCAAAGTTTTTGGGTATATTGCATATTCCCATATTCCTGATCAATTAAGAAAGAAACTTAATAATAAGGGAGAGAAGTGTGTATTTATAGTGAATTCTGTCGGGCTTACAGGTTGTATAATCCTATGACAAAAAAGGTCATAGTGAGTAAAGATATGACTTTTAATGAAAGAGGTGTTTGGGATTGGTCTATTGGAGATCTTGAGACAGTAGAGGTGACTCTAAATTACCAGCAACAGGAGGATAATTATGATATTCAGCCATCACCAGTTGTTCAGGGTCCACAAACTGAGTTAATTGGACGTCCCTAGTATTAGCGACAGATGCCAGCTCGTCTACAGGATTATCTTATTACACCAGATGATATTCCTTCTGACAAAAATATTGATAAATTTGCTTTGTTTGTAGACTGTGACCCATTTGTGTATAAGGAAGCAGCCAGTGATGATCGTTGGGTGAAAGCAATGGAGGAAGAAATTCATGCAACAGAGAAGAATGACACCTGAGAACTTACTTCTCTTCAAATTGGTAAAAAAGCCATTCAAATGAAATCGGTGTACAAGACAAAATTTAAACCCAGTGGAGAAGTTGATAGATACAATGTGAGACTAGTGATGAAGGAATACAAGCAGAAACTCGGATTGATTATTTTGAAGTGTTTACACCAATTGCTAGGCTTGATATAGTATGTATGATAATTTCTTTAACTACTTAAAATAATTGGAGAATTTATCAAATGGATGACAAGTTAGCTTTCATGAATGAAGTTCTTAATGAAGAAGTGTATGTGGAGTAACCAGCAGGATTTATCAGAAAAGATCAGGAAAATAAGGTGTATAGATTGAAAAGAGCCTTATATGGATTGAAACAAGTCCCAAGAGCGTGGTATACAAGAATTAATTCATATTTTCTGACTCATGATTTTCAAAAGTGTCCATATGAGCACACTCTATATATTAAATCTTCTGCTCGTGGTGATATTCTTATTGTGTGCTTGTACGTAGATAATTTAATTTTTACAGGATTACAGAGTTCAGGGAGACTATGATTAAGCAATTTGAGATAACAGATATGGGACTCATGTCATATTTTTTGGGAATTGAAATCTTTTTGTCTGACAGTGCGATTTTTATATTTCAAAAGAAATATGTAGGTGACATTTTAAAGAAATTCAAGATGGATACAGCAAAACCAATTATGACACCAGTTGAAGAAAAATTGAAATTAACCAAGGAAGGTAGTGGTGGTGGATATGTGAATCCCATTTACTTTAAAAGTTTGGTAGGGAGTTTGAGATATTTGACGTCTACAAGGTCTGATATCAATTTTGCTGTTGGTCTGATTAACAGGTTCATGAAAAATTCACGTCAGTCACACTTGCAGGCAACCAAGAGGATTTTGAGATATGTTGGAGGTACTCGCAGTGATGGCAATTTTTATTCAAAAAATGATCCAATTGAATTATTTGGCTACATAGATAGTGATTGGGTAGGTGATACAATAAAGAGGAAGAGTACTTCAGGTTATGCATTTTTTATTAGTTCTGGAGTTCGAAGAAGCAACAGGTGATTGCATTATATACAGCGAAGGCAGAATATATTGCAAGAGCTAACAGTGCTACTCAAACTTTGTGGTTACATCGCATACTTGGTGTTCTACAACACAAGTAGGTTGATCCTACGAAGATTTATTGTGATAGTAAGTCAGCAATTGAGTTGCCCAAGAATCCAGTGCTTCATGGGCGTAACAAGCATATTGATATCAAATATCACTTCACACGCGAGTTGGTTCGAGAGAGGGAGATTGAAGTTAATTATTGCAAAATAGAAGAGTAAGTGGCTGACATTTTCACCAAGGCATTGAAGATGAAGTCTTTTGTCAAGTTGAAAAAAATGTTGGGTATGTCCAAATTAGAGGAGTTTGGTTTAAGGGAGGCAATGTAGAAATATTAAACCAAGCATCGATAATTAATGGCCATGTGTCTTTGTTTTATTGGTTAACTCGATAGTTGCATTGTGAGTTGGTAAAGTTGACCACATTAGATTAGACTGTGAGGACTCGTAAAATTATTATTTTTCGACCCCTAATTTTTGCTCATTTAATTATTTATTCAAATATTTGCCATGATTATTATTTTCTAGCCTCACTAGACCTAAGTACATGGTATTATAGTTTCGTTACATTTTTAAAGGGTCTCGTTTCAAAAATCATTTTCTTAGGAGCTTGTTTAGAGAAAAGGTGAGAACGCGTTTGGAAAATTTTGCCAATTAAGAGTACAATTAGCCCAGAAAAATTTAAGACATGTATAACGGTTTTAAAATAGGTAATTTTATATTTAAATACTTAAGTGATAGTTAATAGTATTATTGTTATAAGAATTTCTTGGAGGTTTCGCGTTATAGCGTTAAAATTGACGGTATGCGTTTTCACACGCACGACTTTATTTGAGTGACTTTAGACCCTTATTTCGGGACAATTAAGAGCGAATAATATTTATATGGACATAAGTGCATTAGAGGTTTAGTGCACTAGTGAACCAAATGCGAGAAAAAATCGAGCCCTAAACGCACCAAACGAGCCCTAATGAGAGTTGATTTTGGAGTGAATTTACAGCACTCATTTTAATCTTCTCTTGGAAGCTAACCTTGATCAAATTTCACTCTTTCCTCTCTCTCCTATTGCCGGCCAGCCCTCCTCCCTCTCTAACTCTATTGTTTCAAAAATTTCTTCACCAAATCAACAACAAAACTCCAACCAATCTTCACCAAACTTGTAGAACAACTAGCAAACTACTTGGAGGTTGGATCTAGCTAGCTAAAGGGCTGCATTTCACGGTTTCTTGGAGCCTCTTGAGGACCGAAATTTTCTGATCTAAAGCACTAAGGAGGTATAACATACTCCAACACCTTAAACTTGGTTTATGATAGTAGAAATGCATCTCTAAGCAATTGCATGTATATGGATGGCTTGATATTGTTGGAAAATTTGAAAATGGGCTCTATGAACTTCCACTCTTGGGTTGTTGTCGATAAGAGGTTTAATGTTGGATTTAATGGTGGTTTAGTGGTTAAAATGATAGATTTATGGAGTATTATTGTTGGAAACTCAAAGTTGAGGCCATGACAAAAATTTCCGAAACTGCCCCTGCTTTGTTCGGCCATGATAAGGCCAATTTTTCATGATCTAATGGCTTGAATTTCATTTTTATATGTTGTATTAGATGTGTAAAAATTTTCATTGGAAAACATTAACGTTTGATTGGGCAAATAAATTTATTTGTGAACTAGTCAAGCTGGAAAACTGTTTTCGGATAACCCTGTCCAGCGGTAGCATTTTGACCATAACTTTGTCCTCCGACATCGAAATTGAGTACCGTTGGTGGCATTTGAAACTAGATATCCGTACCTTTCCAACGGTATAAAATGTACATTCTGGTTCCATGTGTGGGAGCTGAACCATTCGTTTTAAGATAGCTGTCCTGTTTCTCTGTTCTACTGGAATGATTTGTAGAGGCAGCAACTTGAGGCTCAATTTCGAGCTGGTTGTTTGCCAAATTTCAAAACGTTTTCTTCTGTGAATTTTTAACCCTATGAATGTATTTTCCAACACCATAAACCATGCTCAATTCCGAGTTAAACTGAGTAATTCATGATCAAAATACGGTGACTGCCTGGTTGTTGAAAACCCTTGGATTTGGACAGATTTGATGTAAGACTTGTGGTGGTCTTACTAAATGAAGTTCTTGGTGTTAAACACCTACCCAATGTACCATGAATGTTCTTTAAACTTTCCTTTCACATATGAACCATGATTGGAGGATTTTCTTAGCCAAACGATTGGATTTGGGAAGAAAAGGATTAAAGGCAGATTGCCTTAAGAATTTTTCCAAACTTTGGTTGGTTGGTTAACCACCTTTCCGAAGGTATTTTTCCACAAAATTTGATAGAGAGATACCCTTCTTATAGGAGTATTATACTGACAATTTTGGTACCAATTCAAGTTCGTTTCGATACCTAACTAAACTTCCAGTGTTGGAAGTTCAAATCTGGAAATTCTTCTCCAGTCTTGAATTTTCCCCAACTTTGAGCTACCATATCTTGGTACTCGAAACTCCGATTCTTGATCCGTCTACTCTACTATAAACCTCACTTGCAACTCTAATTGAGTTACAAATTTCAGAGGTCGGGTCGTAACGTGTGAATTTTACCGAATTTTCAAAGTTGGCCAAAATCCAACTTAATTCTGCCTTGTGAACCGAGACAGTACCTTCAAGCTCATTTTTGAGCACTTTCCACTTCGATTGATGGAAAAATGCCTTTTAGGAACTTGTAGTACTTTCTAAGAGGTTTCCAACGGTATAAAGTTTTCTAATTCTCGATTTATGTCGAGTGAGTTACGATTTTTCAAATATTCATAACAAAACTGAAATTTTCCAACTTTCAAGGAAATAGGGTTTTTCAAGAACTTTTTATTCTTTTGATATTATCTAAACGTTTATCCCCGATTTCCTAGATAAAGACTTAAATACTTTTGAACATTATCAAATCCTACTCGAACCTCGATTTACAAGTAATTAAGGTTCCTTTCACAAAATTCCCTAGATTATAATAGTGCACGAATTATTTATCCATAATTGGATTGTGTGAATAATAATTCACTATTATTTGCTCAGGCGCACACGAGGACCTTCAAGAAGATCCCACGGTGGACGCCTGAACTTTCCTTGACCTTACTTACACTTAATACTTGGTGAGTGTCAAGTGTATGTAAACTTGTTACAAGCTTAACTTTATTAATGGTTGGAGATTTTGAAATTGGAGTCGAGTGTGTACTTTACCGCACTCGCTCTCATTAGAAATGGAATTTTAAGGATTGAAATGCATTGAATGAAATGAATGATTGAAATGTATTGAATGAATGAATGAAATGTGATAGTATGCTATAGCTGCATACGTCGTTGGAGTGAATCTCCTCGACACACAAATGCACATGGGGACGCCCAGATCTCATTAGCCGACCTTGGACTCGAGCCGGCATGGGCTTGGTCGGGAACCTTGGCGAGCCATGAGATACATAAGCTTGACCTAATGAGAGGTCTTACTTGGCATACTCGAGTAGTATCGCCACAAACAAATGACAGGCGGGCCCGATACAGGGGTATGTAAGGTGAAAGGGAACAGGTTAAGTGGAGTTCTACGGACTAAACCTACCCGATTGATGAAGTGTCAATTCGTGGAGGTTATTGAATGTGCAAGTGGAATATAGCTCCTGAGAACTCCAGTATCCTTGAATTGTTTCTGGTTATCTTTTCAGTAAATTATTAATTATTAAAATATGATTGCTTGACTTGTAAATTGGGATTGTTATTTGAGCAATGTGCTTGCATGTGTGTTCTTGGCCTCATGAGCGTTTTGCTCACCCTGTAGATTTGTTTTCCTTAACATGACTGGATTCGGAGACGTATTGGAGAAACCCTCCTGATGTACTTTTGTTTAGGGTTTCTATCATATTTTGACTATGCCTCTTGGTTTTGGGTTGTACTTTTGTAATTGGAATGTAGTTTTTGGGCGTGAGGTATATTTGGGTTTAAAGTTGTAGTTTGAACACTCGATGTACGGGTTGGATAATGGATGACCATGGTTAAACTTGAATGCTTCCGCATCATTGTATTTATGTTTTTGTACTTGTGACGTTTAGATTAGTAATAAGCTTGAATGTTTTGCGTGAGTCCTGACGAGAGTTGGGCAAGCGTCCCGCAGATACCCTTTGGTTCGCCTTAGGGAGAAGTGGGGCGTCACATAGACCCATAGTACTAGTACTAGATGTCAGCCACCAAGAGACTTAGTACTATATAACCTCTCATCCGTCCTCTTTAAGGAGAGGCTTTGTTGTTTTGTATTCTTGCCTGAGTTTCATTTGATTAATAGAAAACTTCCTTTGCCTCAATATTGTTTTTTATTTGATTGTTCCTGTAGGTTGATGATTTATTATTTGTTTGGGTCCTACAAAGGGGATTTAGAACAAAAGAAAATTGAGCATCATCACAAAAATACTAATCCAAAAAAAAAGCATAAAAGAAAAAGAAGGAAAGGCATTATCTCAACCAAAATATTGATTTAGCACCACAACTTAAGGCATTATATTCTAAACCTTCAACAAGAAGGAATAGAAAAGGAGAAGCTAAAACTCAATGAACATAAAATTTATACAACAAGGTAAAATCAAATTGTTAAAAAACCTCGATTATGAGTGAAAATATTGAAACCAATTCTTGATAAAGCAAAACTGATGCGAGATATAGGCTACATATGGGTTGCTTTGGGTCATGTTTCAAGTTTCAAGTAGTTTGAGTTTTTATTAGTAGTTTAGTAGTTTATTTTCATATTTCTAATTAATTTGGTAGGAATAAACTCAGTCCAAGATCTCATATTAAGTTAAACCCGAATTAGTTGTCAAGTCTGTTGGTTAATTGGGTCATTTTGTTAGCTATTTCTTTATGTAATAATTGACCAACAATAAACTTCTTAATTGGATCATGAGTTAGTTGGTTTAGGTTTTATGTCTTGTAA